CTGCCTGCCTCTGCCTCCCGAGTGCTGGGATTAAAGGTGTGCGCCATCACGCCCTGCCCGTTCTGTGTTTTTTAAAAGATTGCTTTCTATAATTTTAGTCTATTAATTCTTTCCCTCTCCCTGGATTTTGCTTATATTTGGGTTCATATTTTCTATTTGGCTTCTTTCCACTCCATCTGAGAGCTGTTTGTTGTACTTTTCACAGTTGTGGTTTCAATGCTGGGCATTTTCTCTTTTCTCAAATATGTTTATTGGGATATAATTCACATATCACACAATTCACTCATTTCAAGTGTACATTCCAATGGTTTTTGCATGTTCACAGAGTTGAGCAACTATCACCACAATACATTTTAGAACATTTTCATCACCCAAGAAAGAAACTCTACAACCATTCACAGTCACTCCCAACTCCTCACCCTCCCCACCCCACCTATCCTCTTCCTGTCATTCCTCTGGCAATCCTGTTTACATCTCTGTGTGTTGGCCTATTCTGGAATTTTTCCTCTATGTTATCTAACTGTAATTACATATTTTTGACCAATGTGTCCCTCTTTTGTCTCCCCACCAGCCATCTAAGCCTCTAGTAACCATCATTCTGTTTTTATACAAACTAGCTTTATTTATTTATTTATTTATTTATTTATTTATTTATTTATTTATTTATTTATGGTTTTTTATTTTTGGAGGCAGGATCCTGTCAGGTAGTTCAGGCTGGCCTCAAACTTAAGAGCCTCCTGTCTCTACCTCCTGAGTGCTGGGATTATGGGCATGTGTATCAATGTCTGGCCCTTGAAGATATCTTTTGTTTGTTTGTTTGTTTGTGTGTGTGTTTGTTTTGAGACTTGGTCTCAAATAGCTCAGGCTGGCCTTAAACTTAGTATGTAGCAATAAATGGTCTTGAATTGGCTGATCCTTCTGCCTCCATCTCCTGAGTGCTGGGATAACAAGCACAGGCCACCACTCCTGGTTTTATGCCATGCAAGAGATCAAACCCAGGGCTCCCTGAAAGCTAGACAAGCACTCTAACAACTGAGCTTTATCCTTAGGCACCCCTCCCCACTTGCTTTTGAGACAGGGTCTCCCCGTAGCCCCAGCTGGCCTGGAACTCATGATCCTCCTGCATGCTGGGATTTTTTTTTTTCTTTTTGAGACAGGGTCTCCCTGTAGCCCCAGCTGTCCTCGAACTCACTATGTAGACCAGGCTGGCCTTGAACTCACAGAGATCTGCCTGCCTCTGCTTCCTGAGTGCTGGGATTAAAGGCGTGTGCCACCACACCTGGCTCTGATTCTTTATTTTTTTTAAAAAAAAATGTTTTTGATTTATGTGTGTTATGCCTGCATGTATATAAGTGTACCCTCGTCATGCAGTACCCATGGAGAACATAAGAGGGCATTACTGGGATTTGAACCCTGGTTCTCAGCAAGAGCAGTCAGTGCTCTTAAGCACTGAAAATCTCTCCAGCCCTGCCTCCTTTTTTGTATATGTGAGATGAGCAGTGGGCACCTCTAGTCAGTCAGCTTGTTTTATTCCTTTCCTTCCTTCCTTCTCCTGTGGTGCCAGGCAAGTGCTTTACCACTGTGTTGGACTCCCAGCTTTGGGTATGCCTTTTTTGTAGAAGGCAGCATCAAGATAATCACATGAGACTTTATGGTTGCCATGGTTACCCTCAATGAATACATGTTTCAAATTCTTCTAATATTTTTGCCTTCATTGGCAGCTAGAGAGTTGTTGAGAGTTTCTCTTAGTGTCTGTTCCATTTTCAGTTACTGGCTTTCTCTTTGTGCCTCTGAGAGAGGTTGTTTTCTCCATGCTTTTTGACTCTCTCTGCCAGCAGTAGATTGTTATTGCTCGTTTCTGAATGCTTGTCAGCCTGCTAGCAGGTAGGAGTTGGGTTTTCCTTTTAAGTCTTAGGCAGGTGTGTGGTATGTGCTTTGGTCTTTTTGAGACAGGGTCTCCCTGTAGCCCAAGCTGGCCTAAACTTGTTATGTAGACCAGGCTTGCCTTGAACTCACAGAGATCCACCTGCCTCTGCCTCCTGAGTGCTGGGACTAAAGGCGTGTGCCACCATGCCCGGCCATGTGGTTTGTGCTCTTAAGGATGGCATCTTCTTCATGACCTGACTCTTCCCACGTTGTCTTCACCCATGCTTTAAAAGTGAGTTTTTTGCCCCTCCTTCCTCTGAGCACAAGGCTTTTGTGGGTGAGGGTAAGGATTGAGAAAAGAAGAAAGAAGTATGAGGGTCTAGGACTGACTTTATGCTTTTCTCAAAGTGGTTGGTTCTTGCTCACCTCTGCCCAAACCACATCATAAGCACGGCTTTCTTTGGTCCTTTGCCCTGCCTCTAATCTTTCTTATGAACACTTGATGAAAGTTTATGGAGAAAAGCCTTCGAAAAGATGCAAATTTACTTTGGATCAGCAGCTCCTGGAAGTACGGAAGTCTTATACTAGGCCACACTCTGGCTTTCGTATATTAAAAGACAATGCATTGGGCTGGAGATACAGAGTGTAGCTCAGTGCTAGAGCACTTGCTTAAAGTACATGAGGCCCAAGGTTCAAACCTCAGGACACACACACACACACACACACACACACACACACACACACACTATACTACTCAATACAATGTTATTGAGGAATTGAAGAATTCAGGGACTGAAGGGAAGGCTGGTAATTTATTACTGCACTGAAGATTGTCAAGAACAAAGAAGGCAATTTCAAAATTTATAAATTATTATGTGTGTATATGATGTGCATGGGTGAGCGTAGGTATCTATGTGGAGGTCAGAGGACAAGTCTTGGGAGTTGGCTCTCTCCTTCTAATGGGTTATGGGGATTAAACTTAGGTCATCAGGCTTGTTTGTACAGCAAGCACCTCTACCTGCTGAGCTACTTCATCAACCTAACAATCTCAGATTTTAATCTCTTAGAGTAAAAGGTTCTTTGATTTCCCTGAAATAATTTCTTATTTCTTAGAACTGCACCACCCATGTAGTTGAAATAAAATGTATGTAATCTTTGGGATGACTTCTATTTCAACATAAGTTAACAACTTCATGAGACTTCTTTCATCAAAGTTAAGGCATTGATTGGAAAAAAAGTGAGATTGACAATTTAAATGAGAAGTATTTGGATAGATTTATGGTATGCTGACCCCCTTAGCCATATTGCCTCTCTTTCTAATAGAGGCAGTGGTCTTGATTGATTCGTTTGATCAGTCTTGTCTTTGTTACCTTAGATACACTGTAAGAATTTTATTTGGAGAAGTTGCATTATAAGGGTTTGTCAGTTCAGTACCTGTACCACTTCAATCAGTCCTTACTGTTTCTAGAGCTAATAACTATAGTCAGATCCCAGCATGCTCTGGGACAGGTAAAAGTATAAGCCAAGAGGAGAAAACTTCCTTAAAAAAGAACTGCAAGGGCTGGAGAGATGGCTCAGCAGTTAAGAGCACTGACTGCTCTTGCAGAGGACTCGGGTTTGATTCCCAGCACCCACATGGCAGATAACAACTGTCAGTAACTCTTGTTCCAGGGAATCTGAAGCCCTCTCCTCACCTCTGTAGGTGCTGCATGACATGGGTGCAGTTATACACATACAGGCAATGCACTCATACACATAAAATGAAAAAAAAAAAAAAAAGCCCCGAAAGAACTGCAAGGGTTTTTTTTGGCTTTTTTTGTTTATTTGTTTGTTTTTTTGCCAATTTACATGGCTTTTACGTACTATTGATTAGGTATGCTTAAGCTCAAATTAAGAGTATATTTATCAGAAATTCCGTTTGTTGTAATAATTCTACATGCTTTCTTGATTGTTTAACACAAGCTGAATGATAACCCATATTTGGTCATGAAATATAATAAGTTCCTTGCTGGGGTCGTAGCTCACCCTAGTAAGCACCTGGGCAGCAAAGACAAAAGAATGGGCCTCCACAGCAGACACCAGGGACACAGAGCTGGTAAGAATGGACCCACTTGCAGGTATCATTGGTGGTGGTGGCTAATTTGCCTGTCCTATGACTGAGATACAAGAGCAGCCTAGTCCTTTATCCAATCTGATCCTGTACTCTCCCTGTTAAGAGTCCAGGTCTGCAGATGACCCTCTCCCAGTGTAAAAAAGCCTCACAAGACAGGCCATGAAGGCGCCTTGCAAAACAGGAACTGGCCAGACAGCTACATTTAGAGCTGTCGCAGCACAAAGCTGTTCCCCAGATTTTTATTTTATTTTTTGTCTTTTTGAAGCAGGGTCTCCCTGGAGCCCCAGCTGTCTGTGTAGACCAGGCTGGCCTTGAACTCAAAGAGATCCGCCTGCCTCTGTCTCCCAAGTGCTGGGACTACAGGTGTGCCGTGACCGGGCCTGGCTCCCCAGATAATTTTGGAAGATAAACAGGTCCCTGCACCCAGACCCAATGATGTAAGAGCTGTCTCAGTTCAAGCTACTTCCTTTGAAACTGTAAAGATTATTTTTGCCACCTTCCACATTCCCCAACCTCCCTATAAGAACTTCTTCAGCAGTCAGAAGGCTGCTGGTTGCCTTTCTCTCCCCAGCTGAGCTGCCAGCCACCAGCAATCCTAAAGAAATAAACTTTGCTTTACTGGAGTCCTATGTTTCCTGTGGCTATTCCCTGCCCGGCTTTTATCTAACACTCTCCACCCCATGTCTAGGTCTGGTGAATGAGCTAAATTTAGCTTGAAAAACTTTTCTAGAGAACTAGGGCCCAGTCTTACCTGCTCCAGCATAGGCCCGGCGGGAAGAGCAGGCCCTGAAGTGGGAGATCTTCATCAAGGACACTTGCCCCCCGTGTCCTGGGCAGGGCTCTGGGTGTGCAAAAGCTGGAGTGAGGAACAGAGTGAAACCAAGAACGTCATTTCCCACTCAGGAAGCCACAGCTTGCCATTGCTGCGGCCTGCATAGCCCCTCGAGGGTGGGGCCCGTTTCCCCCGCGAGCTGCGAAAGGGGTGTCGCGAGAGTGGCGGTGGGGTGGCCTTCGTGGTAGCATGGCGGTGGGCAGTGGCTGCCTGGGCCTGGTGGCCTGGCTCTTGCTGCTGCAGCTCGGGCTTGGTGAGGCCTGGGTGGCTACCGCCGCTCTCTCTAGTTCGCCTTTGCCCTCAGTGCGTAGTGAGGCCCCAGGGGCCAGCATATCATCACCCCATGAGGGGCCGTTGTACAAGGTGGACCACAAGGACGTCAAACCCACCATGCCCTCCGCTTTCATATCGTTCACCTCAGGTAACTTGGTGAGGAGGGTTGGGAGGATGGTGTCAAGGTGCCTTGATGGGACCAGGTGACACCCTGAATCTGCACAGGTTGCTATGGGGTAAATTCTAGTCGCCTTGCCTGTGGCTAGTGGCATCTGAAATGAATGTGACTCTACTGTGGGAAATGTATGATACCTAGGTCTTGAGGGTGTGAAGTGCCCCTGGGGTTCAAGAGGACATGGCTCCTTCTTGGCAGTCATTGGGGGCACGCGGTGCGTTCTGTGAAAGAAGAGAGGGCCTGCCTGATTCTTTGAGTTCTTTCTACATTGCTCTCACCCAGTGCGTGGCCAACCCATCCTGAAAATCATTGGAGGAATGGATGCTGATGAGGGTAAGTGGCCCTGGCAGGTGAGCGTGCGGATCAAACACATGCATGTCTGTGGAGGTTCCCTCATCGACTCACAGTGGGTGTTGACTGCAGCGCATTGTATTTACAGGTGAGGAGTGGCAGATGGACAGATGGGAGTTCTGGAGGAAATCCTGCAGTCTGAAAACATCCATTACCCTGGAAAATAGGCAACATCTAATACAAGATACTGAAAAAAAGGGAGAAGGGTTCTGCATTGATCATATGATCTGGTTACTAGAATTTCTTAAGGTGGGGTGCAGGCAAAACAATTGAGGTCATGAGGGGTTTTAGTGATAGAGACATCGGTAGAGGAGGCAAAAGAGCCTGGGGTCATGCTAGGAAACATGAAATGGGTAGAAAGGGCACAGGAAATGCTTCCCAAGCATGCCTAGTGAAGGGCATGCCTTCTTTCCAACAGCCGTATCCGGTACAATGTCAAGATGGGAGATCGGAGTGTCTACCAAAAAACCACAAATTTGGTGATTCCCATCCAGAACATCATTGTTCACCCTGAGTTCTCATCTGTGACTGTTAAAAATGATATTGCCCTTCTCAAGCTCGAACACCCTGTGACGTTTACTGCTACTATCCACCCTATCTGTATCCCTTCAGAAACTTTTTGAGTGAAAACTGGGACCCTGTGCTGGGTGACAGGATGGGGCAAAACAGCACCAGGTGGTAAGACTTGGAGGTCAGAAGGAAACTCAGCCTCATCCCTAAGTAGACAAAAGGCTAATGGGAGGGACAAAAAAGGAGGTGGCTTTGCAGGTGGGTAAAGGGGGAGCACTTTGGCAGGAGTCAGGGTGATGGCAGTTGGTTAGCTTAGGTAATCCCAGAAATTGTGTTGGACTCTTTGTTCTAAGACAAATATTTAAAATATATTTTATTTATTATTTTTGTTTTATGTGTATCTGTGTATTGCCTGCATGTAGGTAAATGTACCCCTGTCATGCAATGCCTGCGGAGGTCAGAAGAGGCTGTTGGATCCCTTGGGACTGGAGTTACAGACAGTTGTTAGCTGCCATGTGGGTGCTGGGAATCGAACCCTTGTCCTCTGCAGGAACAACCAGTGTTCTTAACTGCTGAGCCATCTCTCCAACCCCTAAGACAAATATTTTTTAAAAATATTTTTATTTTATGTGCATGAGTGTTTTGCTTGCATGTATGTTAGTGTACTATGTGGGTGCAGTGCCCATGGAGGCCACAGGTGGCGGTGTTGGGTCTCCTGGAATTGGAGTTGCAGACTTTTAGCCACCATGTTGGTGCTGGGAACAAAATCCAGGTCCTCTGCAGGAGCAGTGTGTGCTTTTAACCTCAGAGTCATCCCTCCAGTCCCTGCCAAAGAAAGTTGCTTCTTCCGGGCCTTAGAGTTGAGTCAAATCTCGTTTTGCAGATTTGTGGGGAAATGTTTTGGGATGATTTAAGGGTATTGCTACATTCCCTTTAGACAAAGCCAAGATGCACTGAATTATCCTGGTGAATTTCTGCTCATGAGATGATGAGCTGCCTGCCAGTCAGAGCTGCTTCTCACTGGGAGTAGTTATGGAGCTTCCTGTCCCTAGTGGAATGGGGAGATCCAGAAGAATTCTATTGGCTAGCCCTCTTATCCATGGGAAGAGGCTAGGTGTGGTAACTTTAAGGCTCTATATCTCTGAGAGTCTGTGATTATGTTCTAGTAAAGATGATTGATTGGGTGTGGGATTATATGCAGAAGTATTGAGAGTTTGAGGCTAGCCTGGGCTACATAAAAAACCGTCCCTCCATCTCAACCATCAAACAAAACAAAAACAAAGGGAAAGCTGTGGAGAATGTCTTGTCACTATTACTACTGATAGAGTAACGTGTTTGGTGGGCTGTCACTTCCTTGCCTCTTCTTCCATCCCTTATCTTAGTTTTGCCTTTTTTACGTGCTGAGAATTGACCCCATGGCCTCAAACATGTTAGGAAAGGGCTCTAGTACTGAACTATATCCATAGACCTCTCTTTTCTTTTTGTTTTGTGGCAAGATCTCGCTAGTTGCCCAGGCTGGCCTTCTCACTCTGTAGCTCAGGTAGGCCTTGAACTTGAGAGTCTCCTGCCTCAGCCTCCCAAGGGGTTACAGATTTGTGCCATCAGGCCTAGTTCAATTTTGTCTCTTACCCTATCCGTTTCCTATGAGAGCTTTGAGCCTCAGTTTCCTCCTGTGTCAAATGAGAACACTCACTGCCCTGTCTTCTTCCTGGGTTCTTGAGTGCTCGTGTGGATTTACATACTGCTGATCTTTTCTATTAGTGTCAGGAATTCCGGCAGAAATTCTCCAGGAGGTAGAGCAAAATGTCATCCTTTATCAAGAATGTAATAAGATATTGCAGAAGGCCACATCATCTTCTAAGGATGTAGTCTTTAAAGGGATGGTCTGTGGTTATAAAGACAATAGTGGAAAGGGTTCTTGTGAGGTAAGTTCATGGGCCCTTTCCTCAATCTCAGATGGCAAGGCCTGAGTTATATGCTATCTGACTTACTGACTTCTGCTTCTTTCTAAAGGAGGTAGCCCTTGCTGTCTGGCGTTCCTGTTCAGGTGTTGAAAGTTGGGGATGGGTAATGTTAATAATGTTCTTCATTGAGTTTTCCTATGTGGTGCTTAACCATGCCAAAGGGAACATTAACCTATACTATCTCAGTTAACCCACATCACAGCCTTACAACATAACACCATATCTGCTTATACAACTGTGGGAGGTGAAATCCAAAGACATGGAGTTCAAGGTTCTCCTGTGAGTACATTCTTTTTTTTAGAGGTAGTACACAGTACGTTTAAGGGCGTAGATGTCTGAGGGCACTTCTTACATTTAAGAAAAGTTTTGACCCACTGGTAGTATCTGCCTGTAATCTCAGCACTCAAGAGACTGAACATGAGGATCAAAAGTTCAAAGCCAGATTAGGCTACATCGTGTGTTTGAGGTGAGTCTGGTTTATGTAGTGAGACTTTGTCTTCACTTCAGGACTGGGGAGGTAGAACACATGGTCAGCATGAAGCCTTGGGTTTAATCCCCAATACTAGGGGGTCGGGGGGGGGGTAGAGAGGAATGTTTTACGCACTTGGAGCAAATGTGGCCAGGGAAATAGATTAGCACTAGAATTTGTGTAGCCTAGAGAGCTGGGTCAAGTTTTCAGACTGGCTGTGGCAGGAGTGAGACGTGGGGCTAGGGAAACATGATTAGATTTGCCTTTTAGATAAATGACTTCCTTGGATGTGTGGTGTATGGACTGATACCTTCAGAACTTGTTGTGTATTTTGGAAATGCTATTGAATCTTGAGCAGGGGCTGGAGCAACAAAGTAACGAGGAGAGTATGTTTGAGGTCCAATGATCAGTTCTTATGAGTTTGGGGGTGGTGAGAAAGATGTTGAAGAAGACCAGGTGTTTCGCACAAAAGTGATGGTAGCAGGTTTGAGAGACAAATATGTAAGAATGGGCTCTGTAATGTAGAGGGATCTTACCATATGAGTTAGGAGCTTCAGAGATAATTCTGGCTAAATATGAGTATTTTGGAGCTGCCACATAGAAATGATATTCAAGGTTTAACACTACTATAGTTTGGAAAGTGATCATAATAACCTCAGAGGATGTTAACATTTTTCCCATTAACTTTTCAGTCACCATAGTCATATATTCAGTTCTGGTATTCATGAATTAACAGAAGCTTGGGCCTGGCAAGGCTTCCCCCTGCCCTCTGAGGCAATGTTTTGGTATGTAGCCCAGGCTGACCTTGAATTTCCCGAAATCCTCCTGCTTTACCCTTCTAGTGCTAGTAATACAGGCTTATGTCACCGCACCAAGCTCTGGCAGGGCCTCTGGGATGCCTGAAAAAACCCTATCCAAGCCTGTCTCCCTTATGCCTTTCAGGGCAACCAGCCTGGGTCAATACCATCCTTGCCATTTGTATTTTTTTTTTCTCCAGGGAGATTCCGGAGGCCCCATGTCCTGTGAACTCAATGAAACATGGGTGCAGTTGGGGATTGTGAGCTGGGGCATTGGCTGTGGTCGCAAAGGATACCCTGGAGTTTATACAGATGTTAGCGTCTACAGCAAGTGGCTACGTGCAGTGGTGAACCAGGCTACCTCTTTGTATCCAGTGGCTTTCCTCATCTTATTCCTGTGTTTGCTGACCTTGTGACATCCTGGGGACACTGTGATCATGGCATCTCATTCTCTTCCTTTCTTGGAGTCTCTCCTTGGCCCCCCCTTTCCTTCTCAATGCCTTTTCTTCAAATTCCATTTGGGATCCCTTGCCCTGTAGAGAGCCACAGTGGAGTGTGTCAGGGAGCTTGGAGCCTCAAAGTGTCCTGGCTTGGTGCTCTAGTCACCTTCCTTGGCCACTACTATTCTTGAGTTGTGCTCTGCCTGACTGGAAGAAGAGTGAATCAATTCCAGCTAGAAGGCAAACTGGCCTGCCAGGTAAATGACAGTTGCTCATGGAGGTCTTGGAGAACAGACTCAAAGGAGAGACTGATCAGTGGTTTAACAAATGCTAGATCTGGCTCTGCTTTCACAGCTCACGTGAGACTCTGCCATACCAACTAGATGGTGGGGGGGGGAACTGCAGTTCTCTATAGAGGTGTGAGACTGGAACTTCCACATCTGGCTGAGTACACAGCCTCTGGGTATACAGGTCTGGTGGTTTGGTGGGACAACCCTGTTTAGCATTCTATTTCCTCAGCACCCTAGTAGCCATATCCAGGGATACCCCAAGTTGTGTTCAGGCAGTTTTGGAGTGGGAAAAATTTCAGATGTGAACCGAATAAATGTTTGGAGAGGTTCCTGTGTGCTTTCTTATAATTTATTTATTATTTTTATTTTATGTATATGAGTGTACTGCCTACATGTGTGTAAGTGTATCCATGTCGTGCAATGCCCACAGAGGTTAGGAGAGGGCGTTGGATCCCCTGGAAATGGAGTTATGGACAGTTGTTAGCCACCATGTGGATGCTGGGAACTGAACCCAGGACCTCTGCAAGAGCAGCCAGTGCTCTTAACTGCTGAACCATCTCTCCAGTCCCCATTTTATTTTATTTATTTTGAGACAAGATCTCCAAGTAGGCTGGGTTGGCTTCACTCTCTTCAGGTAGGTGAGGATGACATTGAACTCCTGCTCCTCTTGCCTCTACCTTCCATGTGCTGGGATTACAGGCACATGCCACCATACCCACCCTGATGATTTTATCTATCTATCATCTATCTGTCTGTCTGCCTATCTATTATCTATCTATCTATCTATCTATCATCTATCATATAATCACCTATCTATTTATTTTTGGTCTTTTTGAAACCATCTCTCTGTAGCCCCAGCTGGCCTGGAACTTGTTATATAGACGAGGCTGGCCTCAAACTCACAAAGATCCACCTGCCTCTGCCTCCCAAGTGCTGGGATTAAAAGCATGTGCCACCATGCCAGCTTGATGATTGTTTGTGATGGCTAATCCGGGGTGTCAACTTGACTGGATCTGGGATTAACTGAAATGAAAGAGATCTTCTTGATTGGATCATGTGAAGCTGGAAGACACACCCTAAATGTGGGTGTTACCTTCTGATGGCAGCCCATATAAAAGGCCAAGGCAGGAGAACACCAGGCTTCTTGCTGCTTGCCTTCTCTCTCGCTGGTGAGTTCGTCTTGCTGCTGTAGACTGAAGACTAGCTGATCTTTTGGAATTTGTCAGACCTTCAGTGCCAGATTGGGACTACTGAGACATCCAGTCTTGTGGACTGAGCAACTACGGATTCTCAGCACCATTGTTGGACTATTCGGACTCTATCCTGTGAGCTAAGCTGATGAATCTCTATAAATATATATTTATTCTACCGGTTCTGTTTCTTTGGAGAACCCTGACTAATACATTGTTTTTAAAGATTTATTTTACTTTTTATTTATGTGTGATGTGTGTGAATCTATGTGTATGTGCACATGTGTGCAGGTGTTCACGGAGGCCAGAAGAAGACATTGGATCCCCTGGAGCTGGAGTCCTTTTTAAACTACAGAATGAGAGGATAGGTCCCTGTCTACTCTCATGTGGGAAGATGGTTTTAGTTAGTTAGATCCTGCTGCTTTTGGTCCTCATATTTGTGCATGGAGCTTTATAACTGAGTTTGTTGATCCAATCCAGAAATAAAGTTTCAGATGTTTCCAATTATACCCATTGAATTAATGAATAATTGAGGTCCAAAATGCCAGCAGCTTAATTAAATGTAAATCTTATATCTCTGTTAGAGGGCTGCAACGGCATTTCTACAAATAACAATTTCCTTATTCTTGGCTTGTCTGCTATTACTGTCAGATTGCATTTGCATGTTGTTGAATTGCATATAAATAGAACCCTACAGTAAATAATCTTTGTGATTACCTTCTTCTACATATTGTTTTTGAGATTCATCCATATATAACTATTATTTATCTTTTTAAATTGCAAAATAGTGATCTATTATATGGCTATTTCACAAGATGTTTACTCTCCTGTTGATAGACGTTTATATTATTTACAGTTTGGGGCTGTTATGAATATAGCTGCTGATATGTTAATACATGAGGATATGCTGGTTCATAGGATGGATGAATGCTTAACTTTATTAGAAATCTCCAAAGTTTTCCAAATTGGATGCAACGTTTTATACTGCCAGCAGTAAGTGACAGTTACAGGTGATCCTTGTCCTCATTCAACTTTTATTTGTCCAGTTTTAATAAGTATAAAATGATTTTGAGCTTTTTAAAATTTGCATTTCCCTGCAACTAATGATATTGAGCACCTTTTCACATGCTGTTTGTCAGTAGCCAGCACAGAGGGGAAGCCCAACTTTGCTACCCTTAGCCTGAGTAATTTCCCACTTAGGGACCTGGACTCAGGTAAAGTCCTGTCATTGACTATGAGCTACAGAAAAGAATTTGAGGACAAGTCAGAGTGACATAAAGTTAATGTGTTTATTAAGTAGAGGGAAGAGACAGTGCAGGCTTTAGATTTATTTGTGTGTGTGTGTGTGTGGGTGTGAGAGAGAGAGAGAGAGAGAGAGAGAGAGAGAGAGAGAGAGAGAAAGCTAGCCAATCAAAAAGCCCAGGCGATCCATCAATCTATCATCTATCTATCTATCTATCTATCTATCTATCTATCTATCTATCTATCTATCTATCTATCATCTACCTACCTATCATCTATCTATCTATCTATCTATCTATCTATCTAATCTATCATCTATCTAATCTATCATCTATCTATCTATCTATCTATCTATCATCTAATATATCATCTATCTAATCTATCATCTATCTATCTATCTGTGCTGGATAGCTTCAGTGTCAACTTGACACACCTGGGTTAAGGGAGCCTCAATTGGGGAATTGCCTCCTCTGTGGGGCATCTTCTTGATGACTGATGTGGGAGGGCCCAGCCCACTGTGGGTAGTGCCACCCCTGGGCAGGTGGGCCTGTGTTGGATAAGAGAGCAAGCTAAGCAGGGGCCAGGGGAGCAAGCCAGTAAGCAGTGATCCTCCATGGCCTGTGCTCCAGCTCCTGCCTCCAGGTTCCTGCCCTGAGTTCCTACCTTGGGCTCCCAGATCAACTGTGACCTGGGAAATGTAAACTGAATAAACCCTTTCCTCCCCAAGTTGGTATTGGTCAGAGTATTTTGTCACAGCAATGAAGAACAAACTAGGACACTATCATCTATCTTTCTATCCATCCATCCATTATCTATGTAATGTATCATTTATCTAATCTAATCTATCACTCTATCAATCTATTATCAATTATCACCTATCTTATCCATCCATCCATCCATCCATCCATCCATCCATCCATCCATCATAGCCATTCATCACATCCATCTGATTTTGTGAAGTTACATTTCTCATAGGATATAATTTACAACCAAGTTCAAAGATTTAGTGAAGTTTGAAAAGTAAAAAATAAAGTAGGTTGATCTATTTATTTCTCTTAAAGAATTTCCTTTTATAAATAAAATGGTAAGGTGACATGAGGTACATTTTTCATGCTTAAGGATGAGAGGCACGCTGATAAAGTTAAACACAAAGGTTTTATGTTCTGGCCCTTAGCAAGCATAGTCCATTTTTCAAAAACACTTGTTTGAGATATCACTCAGAAAAACAAATATTGCCCTATGTAGGCAATCTTGATTTTAATTGTGGTGAGGATTTTTGACTCTTAGCTTTCAGAAACACAAACTAGATCTCAGAGTAAGGGACTTCTTTTCCCATGTCACCTTAAATTTTTTTCTTTATATCCTGCCACATCATTGATCATTTGTATATCCTCTTTTGTGAAGTATCTTTCATGTCTTTTGCCATTTTTTAATTGGGATACTTTCCCTTCTTTTGTTGATGATTTTTAATTCATATATTCTGATTACAATACTGAAGGTCAGACTTGATTTTTTTAAACTGTAGATTACAAAGAATCTTCTTCCATGTTTTTCTCCCATAAGGTTTCTAGTTTTGGAGTTTACATTTATATCTATGATCAACAAACTAATTTTTATTTACAGTTTGAAAAAGAATCAAAGTATATATTTCCACGTCAAGTTTTATTCATTTGTTAAAGTGCCATTTGTCAAAAATGCATTTGTTTTCACATCAGTTTGTACTACCAGTTGACTGTATATTTTAGCACCCATTTCTAGTCTTTTTCCATCTATGTATTCTTATGCCAATTGCATACTGTCCTAGTTACTAGAGTTTATAGTCTTGAAATTTGATTGTGTACCTCCAAATTTATTATGTTTTCCAGCTAGAGTTTGGTAGAAACTGACAAGTTAATTATAAAATGCATATGAAGGCACTAGGAATAAGCTCACTCTTTAAAGTGCTTGCTGAGCAAGCATGAGGACCTGAGTTCAATGACCAGACCTACATAAAAAGCCAGATGAAGTGGTGCATGTTTGTAATCCCAGTGCCTGGGGAGACAGAGACCAGCAGATTTCTGGGTTCATTGGTCAGCCAGCTTAACCTAATTGGCAAAGCCGAGGTTCCAGGGAGAGATTCTGTTTCAAAAACCAAAGGGAACAGTTTCTGAGGACCAATACCCAAGATATTCTGGTCTCCACATGTATACTTACATTTGTGTGCATGAACCTTCCCCAAAAGAAACATACAGATAAACATGCACAAATATGTCTC